CACGAGGACCATCTCGATCCCCAAGATCATCTGGATCCCTAAGATTATCTCGTCCACCGATATCCTTTCCCCCTCCGGGACCATCTCGGCCTCCATGGCCAGCTCGGCCTTCGGGTCCACCTCGACCCCCCGGAACGTCTCCGCCTTTACCACCTTCCAAGGACCCTAGGCTCGACCCAAGGTCGTGCCCAAGATCACTCCGGTCATCAGGACCTTGCCAGCCACCCCAACCATCTCGGTTCGTGGGGTCTCGACGGCCGGGACCACTGCGACCCCGAGGACCACCTCGATCCTCAAGACCACCTCGATCCTCAAGACCACCTGGATCCCTAAGATTGTCGTCTCGACTTCCATGACCAGCTCGGCCCCCGGGTCCACCTCGACCGCCAGGAACGTCTCCGCCTTTGCCGCCTTCCAAGGACCCTAGGCTCGACGCAAGATCGGGCCCAGGATCACTCCGGTCATCAGGACCTTGCCAGCCACCCAAACCATCTCGGTTCTTGGGGTCTCGACGCCCGGGACCACTGCGACCCCGAAGACCATCTGGATCCTCAAGACCACCTGGGTCCCTAAGATTGTCGTCTCGACCTCCATGACCAGCTCGGCCCCCGGGTCCACGTCGACCCCCAGGAACGTCTCCGCCTTTACCACCTTCCAAGGACCCTAGGCTCGACCCAAGATGGGGCCCAAGATTACTCCGGTCATCAGGACGTTGCCGGCCACCCAAACCATCTCGGTTCGTGGGGTCTCGACGCCCGGGACCACTGCGACCCCGAGGACCACCTCGATCCTCAAGACCATCTGGATCCCTAAGATTGTCGTCTCGACCTCCATGACCAGCCCGGCCCCCGGGTCCACCTCGACCCCCAACAGCGTCTCGACCTTTACCACCTTCCAAGGGCCCTAAGCTCGGCCCAAGATCATGCCAGCCATTCAAACCATCTCGGTTCGTGGGGTCTCGACGCCCCGGACCACCGGGCCCACGAGGACCATCTCGATCCTCAAGACCACCTGGATCCCCAAGACTGTTTCGTCCACCGATCTCCTTTCCACCTCCGGGACCGTCTCGACCTCCATGGCCAACTCGGTCTCCGGGTCCGCCTCCACCCCCAGGAACGTCTCCGCCTTTACCACCTTCCAAGGGCCCTAGGTTCGGCCCAAGATCGTGACCAAGATCACTCCGGTCATTAGGACCTTGCCAGCCACCCAAACCATCTCGGTTCGTGGGGTCTCGACGCCCGGGACCACTGCGACCCCGAGGACCATCTCGATCCCCAAGATCATCTCGATCCCTAAGATTATCTCGTCCACCGATATCCTTTCCCCCTCTAGGACCATCTTGACCTCCATGGCCAGCTTGGCCCCCGGGTCCACCTCGACTCCCAACAGCGTCTCGACATTTACCACCTTCCAAGGGCCCTAAACTCGGCCCAAGATCATGCCAGCCATTCAAACCATCTCGGTTCGTGGGGCCTCGACGCCCCGGATCCCCAAGACTGTTTCGTCCACCGATCTCCTTTCCGCCTCCGGGACCGTCTCGATCTCCATGGCCAGCTCGGTCTCCGGGTCCACCTCGACCCCCAGGAACGCTTCGGCCGTTACCACCTTCCAAGGGCCCTAGGTTCGGCCCAAGATCACGCCCAAGATTACTCGGATCATCGGGACCTTGCCAGCCGCCCCAACCATCTCGGTTCGTCGGGTCTCGATGCCCAGGACCGTTGTGACGCCCAGGACCATCTGGCTCCCCAATCCTATCTGGATCCGGAAGACTGTCCGCTCTTTCGGGATCGCCTCGGCCATGTGGGCCTCCAGGACCCCCTCCACCTCCTCGGTCAGCTCGGCCTCCGGGACCATCGTAATGCGCAGGTTCACCTCGGCCCGTAGGATGGTCTCGTCCCCCGGGATCTCCCCGGCTTCCAGGACGGTCTCGACGTGCCCGACCAGCTGCAAGGTCATCCCGATTCCCAGGTCCACGTCCATCGGAGACGCCTTCATGGCATTCCCAGGTCGCGAATCCGTCTAGGCTTCCTCGACCGTCTTCAGAATCCACCGAAGCCGCAGGACCTGCCCGAGAGTCTCCAGCCCTGGAGGCCGGGCGTTGGCCTGCTGTACCACCTGACGCGCCTCGAAACCTTCGTTCTGCCACCGAGATGGTGATATTGTTCATGATCGTCGGACCTACATTCATCACTTGCGCGCCTCCAATGGCAGAACTGGAAGTCTCCGCCCTCGCATTGCTCTGACTCGATCGTTCAGGTCCCGGGGTCGCTCTTGGACTTCCTACGTCGTAACCTTCAGAAAGAGGGTCATCTTCCCGGTGCGTCCCAGGCGCTAGCCGATGGCGATTAGGTCGGTCTCGGGGGTCGAGGTTTCCAAGCAGTTCTGCTGCACTCTCTGTCGGTATTGGAAGCGAATCCGCTAGACGACGGTCTGCTAGAGGTCTGTCTGGGCTCGGTTTGGTCCTATCTATACGCCCAGTACATTCGCGGCCGACGTTTTCGTCACGTTCTATATCTTCACATGATCTGTTGCATATGGGGGGAGGGGGATCGGGCGGTAAGACCGCACTCAAGGTTTGGATGAGTCGCAATAGCTCAGGTTTTCGTTGTAGCAAAGGTGAATCCAAGATCCTTGTTAATGTTTCCCTCACGATCGGTAGATCACCCACTGCAAAGACCAGTGTCATCAAGGGGACATACCGGAGGGTCGACCAAGGGGTCATATCTGAGAGGTATGCCTAGGGAGTATAGCTAGAGATACACCTAGGGGGAAGCACTTCTTACAGTCATGGGAAAGTGTCTGGGCCAGGCGCAGACCCGTCTCTTCGGATTCCGGCTCTCTCTCCGCCTCTAATCTACTTGTCGCAACAACTAGCCTGTGAATGAAGTTCGGAGTCTCATCTAAAACGAACTTGGGATATGCCTGCAAACGCACTGGGTTCAACGCAGTGCACGAAGGGGTGTGTAAGTACTCGGGTGATCACTGTTGGTAAAGGTCTCCTTCGCCACTGACAACAAGAACTTGTGCAACTGATCCATGGGAACCCCGGCTTTAATAATTACACTTCCAGGGCATCATGCTCCCTGACAGCAAAGTGGACGCTTATGTCGAAGCGTGCACGTCTGCGGGCTGGGCACCTATAAAGCCGGAATTTGTGCTGAATACCGACAGCTTCAAACCGTATGTGACGGCATTAGCGTCGGAGAGGACTCAAGAAGAGCCGAAGCCACAAGAAGAGCCGAAGCCGCAAGAAGAGCCGAAGCCACAAGAAGAGCCGAAGGCGCGGGATGATCCTTCCACAGCCTCATGTGCTGGCGTCTCTGCAGATGCTAATACCCTAGACAAAGGACAACTGGAGCCGTCAACTGGAGTCGGCAGTCTGGAGTCGTGTGAATACTCGAACAAAAGAGCACTTGAGGACACGTCGGCGCCTGGCGATGCAGAAGGTGGTGAGGTGCGTGCTGAAACACGAAGGCAGAACCAGAAGCCCCGCGGTCAGAACAAGCAGCGCAAGATCAACATTGAGTCGGTCAGACGAGCCGGCATGAACCAAATTTGTCCCAACTTCGCCGGAGCCGGCAACTGCCCAGGCTGCAAACGGTCGCACGACCTGGAGAAGCGTCTTGGGGAGTTGAAGGCTGCCCAGTCCGCGCCGACGGTTGGGACCTTGCCGGAGGTTGACACCGCGCCAGGGTCCGAACCTGTCTCGGGGTCAGCACCAGCAGACACAACGGTCAATGCAGAACCTGCGGTCGGTGCAGAGCCTGCGGTCAGTGCAGAGCTTGCGGTGAGTGCTGCGCCCGTAGTTGGTGCTGCTCTGGCCTGCTGCCCGTTCCAGAAGGCGTGTCTGCCTTGCCCGTACGGTATCGGTTGCGAAGCGGACGCGCTGAGTCACTGCGACCCCGTGACTGGTATCAATCTCCTCGGGGGGCGGCCGGTGACGGTGGAAGACTTACGGTTAAGCGAGAAACGGTACGAGAACCACTCGCACACTATTATTGCGGCGTCCAAGCGGGCGGGTCTGAACAAAAAGCAGACAGGGAAGCCTGCCGTCCCGCACTCGACGGCTGCCACAGACACGTCGGCGGATACGCCGACCAATACGTCGTCGGATATACCACACAAGACGAGTGAGGCGCCGGGGGACGACTTGGGTGGCAACGTGCGGGCGAACCGGGCGGTGTTGAAACAGAAGTTGGGAGGCAAGTTGATGTTGGCTCCGCTGACAACAGTAGGGAACCTGCCGTTTCGTCGTTTGTGTGTGGCGCAGGGGTGTGAGGCGACGTCGAGTGAGATGGTGTTGGCGACGAGTGTGTGCCAGTTGCGATTCGGCGAACTGGCGATGCTGAAGCGACATGCGTCCGAAAAGTTGTTTGGGGTTCAGTTAGCGGGCGGCTATGTCGAGCCACTGCAGCGAGCCTGTCGTCTCATCTCTGAGGCCGACATCAGTTGCGACTGGGTTGACTTGAACGTCGGCTGTCCCATCGATGGCATGCAGACACGCGGCAGTGGGTGTGTGCTCCTCAGCAAACACACTCGCCTCCTCGACATATGCCGAGCCATGGCTCACTCACTCCCTTCCCATATCCCCCTCACCGTCAAGACACGCACCGGCTACTTGACCAGCCGCGACCAAGTCCTGCACAAACTCCTCGCCCCCCTTCTTGACCCCGCCACGGGCATCGCCGGCTTTGCACTCCATGGCCGCACCGCCAAACAGCGCTACAACCGATACGCAGACTGGGACTACGTCGCGCGCTGCAAAACCTACACTGACTACCTTCACGACATCAACAACCCCCTCAAGGAAAATCCCTTCGCTGACGAAGCGTCCACCCTCCTCACACCCGAAGTTGTCGCCATGTACTCAGGCTCCGGCGCCCTCCACTCAGAGGCTGGTGCCGGAGTGGCGACGCCGTCACCACTGTTTGTGGGCAATGGTGACATCTTCGATTTCGAACAATACAACCGGCTGGCGCCTTCCGTGGACAGCGTAATGATCGGACGCGGCGCACTCATCAAACCCTGGATCTTCCAGGAGATCAAGGAACAACGCCGAATCGACCTACCTAGCCAAGAACGTTTCGAACTTCTCAAGACCTTCTGCCAATACGGACTCGAACACTGGGGAAGTGACCGACGCGGCGTCGAGAACACACGCCGCTTCCTACTCGAAGAACTCAGCTTCTTCCATCGCTACATACCCGTCGGCATACTGGAACGACCCTTCGTCCCTCTCAACTCCAGACCACCCCCGTTTGTCGGGCGCAACGACTTGGAAACACTTCTCGGCAAGCCTTCCGCCGACCACTGGATCCAAATCTCCGAAATGCTGCTCGGTAAAGTACCCGAAGATTTCACCTTCATACCCAAACACAAATCTAGCGCCTGGGCCGATTAACCTGGCTCACTGACCCCAAGGCGACTGGCCTGATGGTGGGAACCGACTGACCCGAGGGTGGACGCCACCGGATTCAGGCCAGCCGGCGGACTCGAGTAACGAATTTTTTTCCCCAGCTTTTTCGACTGACAACCGACGTCTCCTATCCAATGAACGCCACCTGGCACAGAATCAACTCTGGGGTGGGGCAGATACCGCTACTGCCACAGAGTGGATTTGACGTTTGGGAAGTGGTGGAGCAGGTTGGTCACCTCCTGTCTGATGCGCAGCAAAGTCGGGTCGTTCTGGCATTTCTCGACGAATTTGGGGAGTTTGCTTCCCGAGTACTTGGCTGAGACTTCGAGTGCATCGCAGAGTAAGTTGCCGATTGTCTTGAAGCCTTTCTCCTCCATGCCTCTGGTGGTCATGGCCGGCGTTCCGATTCGAAGACCGTTGGGATTTTTGGCACCCTTGTCTCGAAGTGTGCTATTCTTATTCGTGATAATGTGGACAGTCTCCAGAGCCTTTTCGGCTTGGTTGCCGCTGACGCCCTTGTTCCCGAGATCAGCTAGCAGTAAGTGGTTGTCGGTTCCACCGGTTACGAGTCTGAGTTGTCGGGTTCGCAAAGTCTCGGCTAGAGCTTGAGCATTGCTAAGCACCAGCTTCTGGTACTGCACAAACTCCGGGTCCTTACAAGCTTTCATAGCGGCAGCAATGGCCGCAATGGTGTGATTATGAGGGCCGCCTTGGCAACCAGGGAAAACAGCCTTGTCCACAGCTTTGTCCAAAGGCTTCCTCGTAAAGATAAGTGCTCCCCGGGGCCCTCTCAGAGTCTTATGGGTTGTTGTCGTCACCACGTCACAATAGGGAAAGGCTGATGGAATGATGCCCGCACTCATCATACCTGCAATGTGGGCGATATCCGCGTGCAAAATTGCACCCACGGAGTCCGCTATCTCGCGGAACCGGGCATAGTCCAAAAGTCTAGGATAAGCCGAGTACCCCGCAACAATCAAATGAGGCTTAAACCTAACGATAATAAGGATCAAGCTGGGATGACTCTGTCGAGTAATGACGCTATCGAGTCAGTGCTCGGGTCACCAGTACCCTGACGAGTATAGATTTCGGACGGGCTTACTCTTTCGCTTTTTTCGCGAGCACGTCGTAATCGATTAGCTCCGTCTTCGGATCGAGCGCATATGGCGCGCAGTCGAAATAGCGTCCAGTGGCGCTCACTCGTCCCTGGCCAAACCCATGGGATAAATGTCCCCCATGCGGCAAATCGAGGTACAGAATCCGGGACCCCGGACTTAGTAATGCGGTATACACAGCAAAATTAGCCGGAGTTCCAGACAGAGATTGGACGTTCACTCCCCAGACCTTCTTGTCCAGATTGAAAGCCTCCAACGCGCGATTTTGGCATAATCTCTCAATCTGGTCTATGAACTGGTTTCCAGCGTAGTACCGGTCTCCGGGGTACCCCTCACTATACTTCATCGACAGACAACTACTCAAGGCATCGTTACAATACTTGGGAGTATAGTTCTCTGAAGCAATCAGAGAGCAGCATCGGTTTTGGTTGATGCGCTCCGCTTGAATGATCGAAAAGAGGGCCGGATCAAACGTCGAGAGGCTCTCTGAGACCTGTAAACACGATATCGGGCGCCACTCCCGCTTACTCTGGCGACAGTGTTGGTGGGGGCATTAATGGCCGTTGATGTTAGCATGTTGCACACGCGTGTGCTGTTTGGCAACAAAAATCTGTGAATCAATTTCTTGACCACGCCCGCAAACTGAGTTAACTAACTACATCTGTGGAAGGTCACCTATAGATTCCCATGCTATAACCACCACCAGAATAAGCGCTTTGTGCAGTTATTCCGGCGCCGCCGTGGTTGTAGCCAGATCCGCCATGGCTGTAGCCAGCTCCGCCGTAGCCAGACCCGCCATGACTATGGCCACCTCCACCGTGACCGTAGCCGCCAGCCCCGCCATGATTGTAGCCAGTTACGCCGTGATAGCCGCCGGCGGAGGTAGGGCGGTATCCTCCGCCGCGGCCGGGCGCATAAGCACCCCCACCATAGTTTCCGCTAGAATAGCCGTAGTTACCGCCGCCTCGGGCACCGCCAAATCTGGAGGGAAATCCTCCTGCGCCACCATATCTTCTGGCCGCGCCGTACTTTGACGACTGTTTACCGCCTTTCATAGTGAGGTCTCTAAGCTCCGGAGGAACGGCCTGATTTGCCTCCTCCAATATTTTTATCAAGTCCGAGGCAAGCCGCGCCTTATCCTCGCTAATAAAGGAATACGAGATGCCCTTCGCTCCGGCTCTGCCAGTGCGGCCAATCCGATGTACATAATCCTCCACCTGGTTGGGCATGTCGTAATTAATAACTACCATCACATTCTTAATATCTAGACCTCTTGACGCAACGTCCGTGGCGACCAGAATCGGGTGAGAACCGCTTCTGAATTCCTGCAGAACATACATCCTCTCGCGTTGCTCTTTATCGCCATGAATACACAAAGCCTGCAGCCCCGTCGCTTTCAGCTGTCTCGTCAAAACGTCACAACCACGCTTTGTCTCTGTAAATATCAGGATGCGCTGATGCGGATCATCCTGAGTCAGTCTAGTAAGCAAGTCCATTACCTGCTGATGACGATCCTCCAACGAGTTAACTACCTGCACAATTTGGGTCACGCTATGATTCGCCTTCAAGTCAGGTGACCCGATTGAAACGTGGACCGGATCCTCGGTACACAAATCACGCGCAAGCGCCTTCACTTCCTTCGGCCACGTTGCCGAAAACATCAACGTTTGACGATCAGGCCTGATGTCCTTCACTATCGTTCGGATTTGAGGCTCAAACCCCATATCCAACATGCGATCCGCCTCATCTAGAACTACAAAACAATAATTTTCGAATGCGCACATACGTTCTCACACCCGTTCGCACACACGTTTTAGCGCGCAGAAACCGGTGCTACGTACCTAGATAGGTGACTCGGTTCAGAAACAGCTCGCCTCTTTCCACAAAGTCGATGAGGCGTCCGGGACAGGCGATCATGGTATCTAGTCCGTCACGAATGCTTCTCAGCTGTCCTCGGCGCGGGGCGCCGCCGTAGGCGACTCCCGTTTTGAGAGAGCCAGCGAATCGGTGTGCCTCCGTCTTGATCTGTTCTACCAGCTCCCGGGTTGGAGCCAGGACCAAAGCAATTGGCCCTTCATTGAATCCAACTGCTGGTTGGTCTTGAATATGAATAACGGCTGGCAAGAGGAATGCAAGTGTTTTACCACTACCCGTCTCTGCTATGCCGATAAAATCGCGACCCAGGAGCAAGATAGGCCAGGCCTGAGCCTGAATGGGAGAGGGATGCTTGAATCCGGCGGCGTACAATTTCTCCTCAATTTCCTTGGGAAAGCCCGCATCCTCGAAGCAAGGCAACGGCTTAATCCCAGACGGACCACACACCATAGAAATGTCTAGCTCCTTACGGAGCTGCGCCGCATCCTCTTCGGACATGTTCTTCACGGCCGCACTCTCCTCGTAAAAGATCTTCCGAAAGTTCGCCAACGGCCGCGGAGGCACGCTACGGCCCAAGCCGCCCCGGGGGAACGGCTGGACAGAGCGGTCATCATAATATGGACCAGGCTCGCGACCTAGCTCAAAGTCGTTGTCCCTGCTAGTGATGGAATCGGCGCGGTACCGATAATCTGCTGCGCCGCCGAATCCGCCGCGATCGTGGCGGGCAACAGGGGAGTCATATGCGCTGCCTCGGCGACCTCCTCGAGGGGGCGGCGGACCACTTCGGGATGAGGCGTAGTGTGCCTGGCTGGGCGCGGGGATCTCGTCTAAGTACCGCGGGGGGGGAGGTGGCAGCAGCTGCTGCTCCGGAGAATCGCCCTCCTGGTTTTCTGGGCCATACATTTTTACAAACAAAACGATCGATCTGCTGCAAACACGGCAAAGGTGTCAGCACAAAGGCTGCCAGCCGCAAAGGCTGCCAAGGCCTAGTGTCGGCAACAGGACTGGGAGCCCTCCGGCTCCGCCACCTCAATGGCGTCACTGAGCGTGAAGACTTGGTTTGCAGGACCGGCCTTCGTGTAAATGGCCGCCCGCGGAATGGCGTATTGCGCCGAAGAGTCGCCTTCACATATAACCTTGTGCTCCCGGTCATATATCTCTAAAAAACACAACATGGTCTGTGCCCGTGCGCATGTATACCACGGGTATACCACTCGTGTGCTAGCGAGCGCACACCTTGAAGAATGAGTTCAAACATCTTCTTGACGTTGTAGCCGGTGACCGCGGAGGTTTCGAGGAACATGAGCCCGCTCTTTTTGGCCCATTCGGCTGCCTCTTCCGTGGAGACTTGCCGGTCCTCCGGGGATCCTTCAGCCAAGTCCACTTGGTTGCCGACGAGCAGCATGACTACGTTACGGCCCGCATGCTGTACCACGTCGGCTAGCCACTTGGACGCGTTCACGAAGGTCTGTCGCCGCGTCACGCTGTACACAATCACGGCCCCTGCCGCTCGCCGGAAGTGCGCCGCCGTAATCGACTTGTACCGTTCCTGGCCAGCCGTGTCCCAAATCTGTGCCTTGACGGTGCCGCCGCCAGCCAAGGGCACTGTGTGAGTAGCCAATTCCACTCCTAAAGTCGGCCCCGGGTTCTTCGGCAGCGAGTTCCGTGTATACCGAGCCAATAAGTGCGTTTTCCCCACGCTCGGGTCTCCTACCAATATAACTACAACGAACACACTCTTTGTCACCGCATCGTCCACCCTACTCCACCTGCCGTACTCAGCTGGACTGGGCCCACACGGGTCAGGGGCCAAGATGCACTGTAGGTGTGGGTGGTTTTACGCACTCTTATAAAGATGATCGTAGTCATCGGTGGCTGCCAATGACATTTTAATCTCTTAAAAACAGGTATCTAAAATTCCTCCCTGTTAACTATGGGAACCGTTCTCTTCTGCTCTTTCTGATTAAAGAGCCCGAACCACCAACTCTTCTTCTCCGCCTCAGGCGACTGGTTCATTAGTGACGATAAATCCACGTTCTGTAGCATCTTGTCCGCCCCGGCCCCAACATCAGCAGCCGGTCCCCGGCCGTCCGCCCCCTGGTCGGGCAAGCCAGGGGCTACATTAGCCCCGTCTTGGTTCATTCTACTGCCTCCGCTCAAGCCGTTGGCTTGGGCAACGCCATTTCCATTTGCAACAACTTCGTTTGCTGCCCCATTCATGCCTGGAGTAGGCACAACAGCGCCTGGTTTCAGCGGGAACTTGATTAATAAGCTATTGCTCGCCGTGTCGACGGTAGCCCTGGCCTCTTCGTTCAAAATGTCACATTGGGGTGGCGCAGGGATTTTCCTAATGGTTGTAGAGCTGGACATCTCGCCGAAGCCTCGCAGACGCTTCATCTTGCTTGCCTCCGAAAAACTGCCTCCGGTTAAGGCGTTCTCCCGAGACAAAGCGTTATCGGTGCCATCGGGCCCTCGTGGTGTCGGGGACAAAGTACTATCGTCGTCCTCACTATCCTGTACATCACTATCTGACGGGGCTCTCCATTCTCGAATATTCACAGTAGACACGTGCAGCTCGATGTCCCTCTCGCTTGTGTACACCTTGATGTCGGTATCGTTTATGTTCATGTCGCCCAGAGTCACCGTCACCACGCAGTCGTCGCTTAGACTGATTTGCGGAATTAACGAGCTGAGGTTAGGCATGAACGACTTGATCCATATGTCTGGGTTGAAGTCAAACATGGAGGGGAATGGGCTGAACGGGGCGCGTGGGAACCAGCCGCCAAGATCAGATAACATGTCTTCCATCATGGGAGGGAATTGGACCGACGGAAACTGAAATGAGGGCCTCAGCTGGTTGTAGTTGGGAAGAATAAACTGCTCCTCCTCCCTGACGCCAGCATTAGCCGAACCAATCAGTAGCAGAACAGCGAGTGCTTGCATGATATGTAGGAAACACCCAAGATCTGTCGGAAACGCGCCAAATAAAAGTTATCGAACGTGTGTGCAAGACGTCTCTTTTTTTTTAATTTTGAGCTAAACTGCATCCAACTCCGTTGGAATCGAATTCCGTCCGTACCATGGTCGCCTCCTTCACAGAATGCTCGAACCACTGTCACAGTGCGCCGTGTAAGACCGACGCTTCGTTTTTAGCGGTGACTTTTGATTTGATCTGGATGAGCTTCTGTGCTACGTACGTTAAAATGGCCATTAAGGTCCTCTACATCCCGATACTAGGTGAGTATGTCAGACGGCTTACCTTTATCTCTGGACTACAAGATACGAACGCGAACCTGTGCTTGTTTATGAGGATTTTGTACACTCTGCTGCCGAGCGATATTAGGTTCGACCCGGCAGAGCGCGATTTGGCTTGGTACTTCCTAGAGATACAGTACAAAGCGGTGTACTGGTTGGTTAGGATGTTTGGTTTCAGAGTACTACCGCCCCCACTAAGGCCGTTGTTCGTAACATATTACGGTAGGGCAGTCCGCTCTGCATCATTTGTTCAGGAAGCAATTCTCAACGACTCTGTGAATCAGTTGGTGATCCTAGGGTCAGGTTATGACTGCTCAGCATACCGGACTCGCCAACTCCGAATAACGAAAGAGCGATACGTTAAAGCCTTCGAATTGGACTTGGCCGACGTCCAGCAGCGTAAAATACGCATGATGAAGGAGTCGATGACCGAAGTCGAGTACCAGTACTATACAGAAGGTGTCATATTTGTTCCTTGTGATTTTGATAAACAGTCTGTGAGGACAGTCCTGCTGCAGGCTGGACTAGACCCGACACAGTCCGTTGCGATTCTTTGGGAAGGAGTAACATACTATCTGGATATGAAATCGATCAAGAGTACTTTACAGGAGATTCAGAACATCTTCTCGAAAGGATCTCTTGCGCACCAGTCCAGTATAATGTCTCCTTCCAAGCCCTCGTCGGCTCAACCCTCATTGGTTCAGCCCTCATCAGCTGCCGCTACGGATGCCTCCGTTGCCGATGCCTCTGTTGCCGATGCCTCTGTTACCGATGCCTCTGTTGCCGATTCCTCGACGGTTGAGCGTTTGGTGGAACCGAGTTCCGCTATGAGACCCAATGAGGGTTCCCCAGTCTCCGCCGACTCTACGGGCTGTCTAAGTGAAGATGTGCCCGCGATGCAGGAAGCAGGGAGTCCGACTATCTTCCTGTTGTTTGATTACATGCCTGCTTGCAGTACATTGTTGAAAGAGGGGGAACATGAGTCCTGGTTGTGGAAGCTAGAACAAGACCTCAACCAAGTGGCTGGTACCCCATTCATTACGGGCATTCAGAGTGTCGAGACTCTCTTGAGTGAGTACGGGTTCAAGGTCACTAGAGAAACCTCCCGACTCACGCACGTAGGCAACTTGGCTAAATACGATATGTTGGATGTATTCTTTGAGCCTAACTCCACACAAGGCCATAATGAACCTAACCTGATTGTTGTTGAAGCCCAATATAAAGTTTTTGTCTAAAACTATGATTTGTGAAGATGATCACCAATTGAGGTTGATTTTGGGAGTGCCGGGGGACCGTGGTCGAGCCGACTCGTTGTTGGACCGGTCATTGGACCGACCTTTGTTGGAGAATGGCTCAGGTGGCCATCTACCTACAGACTCAAGCAGACCAGGCAAACATTGTTCGGCTCCCACCGTCGCATGGCACCTGTCGAAAGGGTTCCTCGGACTCGGTCTGTTCGTAGCGCCATATCTAGCCCGTGTAGGCGGTCCAAGCTTCGGAGTAATTGTCTGTGTTGCGGGATACTACTTGGCCCGGCAGGGTTCCGACGCCGTGTTGCGTTGCGCCGCTTCAAGAGACTACCCCACCTCCCTAGACGCGCTTGTACACCAGAGTCCAGGTGGCCTCGTCCTTCGAACTCTCGTCCGGACATTCAGAACGGCATCAAGACTTGGCACCGCCACTCTCACCCTAATGTTCATTGCCACCGCAGCTATCCGACTTTTCCCCAACCAAGGTGGCTGGAGTCTACTCCTGGGGGCTGCCCTCCTCATGGGTTATACCCTCAGTGTTCAACGACCAGAAAAACTACGCATCTGGGTCGCTGTGGCCCACGGCCTTGCCCTCGCCGGCTTCCTGCTCTTCTTCGCCACTTGTCTCTGGATCCTCGCCACGCGGGTCGAGAAGGAAGTCGAGGCCATCGAACAAAACATCTTCAACCCCACCACCACCCCCTTCCCCACCACCACCCCCTTCCCCACCACCACCCCCTTCCCCACCACCATTTCCGATGGCACAGCTGCTGGACTCGCGCCACCCCATCTCCTAGCAAACGCTACACCTCCCCCATCCACTACTCACATGAAGACTTCGATCGTGATGTCCACGCGTCCCGTGACCACTCATCTCGTCGCCAAACATCCCACGGCCGCATCTCCTACGACCGCCCCTCCCACGCATCCCTTGACCACAGAGCCACGAGTCCCAAGTCAAACCACGTTTATTGTGGCCCCCGCGACCCAACTGCCGTCGGCGAAACACGACAGCGTTTCG